TGTAATATTACTCTTTTGTGAGGTGAAAAAATTAGGGAAAAAAAGAGTAGCCTTGGTCAAGAAAGGCTGCACAGGCCAAAGAGTGTGGAGCGGCCACAAAGGATGTGGAAATATTTTCCAAGTATTGCAGCATTGAAGAGGTGCAGGGCTTTACACAGGGAGAAATGGAGGTGGAGGAAGAAGAGGAGGAAGAAGAGACAGAGCAGGAAGTTGGAACAGGACCCATATTTGGCAGACAGCTCAGCAGATGCCCCTGTTTTAAAAAATATTTTTGACATAATGATGAACACTGCCTTTGTTGATAACTAATTTCACTTTCTGTTTTCAGCATAATGATAAGTAATAACATGTGCAATTGAATCCTGATAAACTTTATCATAAAGTCAACTCTTGCTTACAGTCAACACCTCACTGTGGTCCCTTTTCTTACCATCTTTGTTTAAGTACCGGTAATTATGTTTCTGATACATGTACAGTCAACCGCTTGAGTGTTAACCTTGTGTAAAGTCAACAATTTGGGGCTAAATCCCAAGATGAATTCATTTAAGAAGAGATGTTTAGGTCCTGAGCTAGTGGTGTACACACCTCCAATTACTTTGTTCACTCATTATCTCTTGTTTTGGTGACAACTTCAGAATTATACTCACTGAAATTGAGCTAACATCTTGTTACCAGGTACTTTGTAATTTTGTACCTGTCATCTTCAATTTTCAATTGCGAGTAGTACAATGGATAAAGTCAACCTTGCTCAAAGTCAACACCTTTTTTCGATCCCGAATTCCACTGTAATTTGTTCTATTTGTAATTAAGGCGCTTTTGAAATAGACATGAGTCTCAATTTTTTCCTTATTAAGAAAGAGTATTCAATATTTTGCTTGAATGATATACTCTGTTTTTTCCCCTAGTAAATGTAGAACTGCATGTTATTATGTGCATACGTATGATATCTGTGTATATCAATATGTTCATCACGATTTATCGATCTTAAGATTGCGCTGCACGTTTCAACGATCGTATAATTGCGTGGCAATCTTAACATTGTGAGGCAATTTTAAGATTGCGCTGCGCGTTTAAACGGTTATATAATTGTACCATTCTTGTGAGCTCTTCAGTTCCATATCTAATTTTAACGTTAATTTTGATTTCAATTATCATATGTTTGCACTTTTGAAAATATACGGTAATCTTCCTTGATGTGAGTAAAAGAAAAAAATATGGAAGTGAATTATACGATCGTTAAATGTGCAGCGCAATCTTAAGATTACCGCGCAATTATACGATCGTTAAAACGCGCAAAATTGCGCGGAACATATTCATGTTCTTCATGAATAGTATGTAAAGAGCATGGAACAATGATTGTAGCACGGATTTGTGCGAAATGAATCTCATATTATTAGTATTATAAGCGAATAAAGTAGCCTAATATTACGGTGG